TCCACGAGCAAATCATGATGATTAAGTAGGTCCGTGCCAATGACGGGCATGGTGACGTCAGCGATAAGGAAAATCCACTGAATAGGTCTGCGTAAACCTACGTTCAGATAGACGTATTCCCGACCATAGGTTGCGATTGGTTTTCCCTTTGCAGCCTGTAAGTTGAAGCTAGGTTCCTTCTGTCGATCTGCTGCTGTAGCAGGAAGGACACTGACTTCGGCGCCTGTGTCGACTAAATATCTAGTCTGGCTGATTACATCATGGATGTAAAGTAAGCGGCTAGTGCCACCGGCGACGGTTGCCGCTAACGCGTGCCGGCGGGACAGTTTCCCACAGACTTTGAGATATTGCCGAAATCACAAGGTTTTCGACAACATTTTGCTTCCTTGCCATAGGTGTTGTGATACCAACACCAGTCAGGATTTTTGAGAGAACGTGTGTTGGACTTAGATCGTCCACGTGCGTTTTGTCGTTGAGGGAATTTAGAACGACGGTAGGAGGAATTGCTAGGCTTGTTTGACCTAAGCATCTGCTGGATGGAGTTGCATAACTCTATCATTGCAGAATCCTTTCTCGAAGTCTGTTCGGTAACTGAGTATACTTCAGTAACTGGGCGTTTCGTTATCTCTAGAATTCTATCTGCAGAGACAGCTAAGTCATCTATGAGAACACCCTGAAGTGTCACGAGTACAGTCTGAACTGACTGTGGCAGTTTGGATAAAAATAGTTGTCTGAACAGTCCTTCATCGAACTGGCTTTGGCCAATGATCTCTTTCATTCTTGCCAGCATGCTCACGGCTGACTGATCTCCTAACTCGATGTAACGAAATAACTCATCCAGACGTTGTCGATCAGTGAGAACGTTTCTCTTGAGGAGGGATGCTTTGAGCAACTCGTACGAGTTACTTACCGACATCTGCAGAGTTACGCACCTGCTTAATTCCCGCGGTAGGGCGTGAATAACTGCGAGGAACTGTGAACGTTGATCAGTTATGCCATGTTCACAAAAATCAGACTGAGCAATTTGAAACCACGTTTCAGCATTATCTGGCCAATATGGTACGAGCTGAATTGTTTTGGCGGTCGATCGTATGCGAATAACCTTGGGGCTAGGGTCAGTCATGACGAAGTGTATGCCGATAACAATATAGTACAAGAATAAACACAAAAAGGAACGAACTCACCGGGTTTATGTGCGTGTGAATTCAAGATGTAGTTCGTGGTTGGGCTCACCAGTTTGGTGGTTGAAGGTATCGACGTTCACGAATTGTACGCAGTATACTAACGCAAGATCTTATACCAACAACTTCTATAGTGTGTTGTTGGATATATATCTTCAAAGAGGGGGACAGGCAATTGGTATCTAACTACAGGCCGGTAAGTCTGACATGCATTATAGCAAAGGTAATGGTAACTATTATAAGGGATCAGATATTAGCTTATTTTGAAACACATGGCTTACTGGCAGTTGAACAACATGGATTCCGACTAGGACGATCCCGCTTCACAAACTTACTGTTGGCTAGGGAAGATTGGGCCGAGGCCAGAGATAAAAACCTTCTGTTGGACGTGGTTTTTATTGATCTTAGCAAGGCACTCGACAAAGTATCCCACTTAGGTCTCCTTAGTAAACTTAAAGGTTTCGGACTAGACCAATGCCTATGTGAGTGGTTTAGGGATTACCTGATGGATAGAAGGCAGAAGGTTAGAGTTAACGGTGTACTATCAGGGTGGAAAGCAGTATCCAGTGGAGTGCCTCAGGGAACTGTATTAGGCCCCTTGCTATTCCTATAATACGTTAATGAGCTACCGGGGATTCCTACTTCATCTTCATTGTTATTTGCAGACGACATTAAGATATGGAAAACTGTAAATAATAATGACGATAGGTTGGCCCTACAAACTGATCTAGATAAATTAGCTCAGTGGTCGAACCTGTGGAGTTTGGAAATGAATTCTAGGAAAAGTGCGGTAATGCACTTAGGCCAGAAGTCTTATACGTTGTACTCCTTAGGGGACACAGAACTACCTGATGTTAACAAACAGAAGGACCTAGGAATCATTGTCAGCAATGATTTGAAAACAACTACAAATTTCAATGAGGCCGCAGCTATGGGCACTTCGAAGGGCTTTCAAACGATTAGACGAGGGCATTTTAGAGGTTGACGGGCTCACCAGTTTAGTGGCTGACGGTATCGACGTTCGCGAGTTGTACGGATTATACTAACGCAAGATCTTATACCAACAACTTCTATAGTGTTCGTTCTTCGAGTACCAAATGGTAAAGCAAAAGACCAGATTTTGTCGTCCAAAGTACGTATTATATTTCGGGACAAAATCGCGGGTAGAGGTGAATGCTTAGCTAGCTAGTAATCGTGCACGCACGTGACACGACTGAGTACCAAATGGCGGGGATGCTTGACCGGAAGCCTTCAGCTAAACAAGTCGACTTAAACAGTGATGGTCAGCATCCAATGTTGAGTGGTGATTGCTGTGGTTAATAATTTTGGGGAATTATTTACCGCTACAGCATGTTCCAATTGCTCTACGCAACATATGTCACACCTCATCTAGAGTACTGCATACAAGCGGCGGGTCCATGCTTCAAAAAGGAGGCACATTTCCTGGAAAGAGTACAGAGATTAGGAACGAAATTAGTTAGTAGTATCTCACACCTTCCTTATGACATGAGGATGGAGCATTTAAATCTCTTTCTATAATCATACCGAAGGAAGAGAGGCGACTTAATTTTAGCATACCGTATACTTAAGGGTGATTTAGGAACTGACCTTTCTAAACTTTTCTCCCCTTTTAGAATACATTTACGGGGTCACTGCAAAAAGGTGCTCAATCCGAGGACGATTAAAATACGTGCAGAATTTAGATTCTCTCACAGAGTGGTCAACGACTGGAGCTCTTTACCTGATTCAGTAGTATCAGCTCCATCGGTCAACGCTTTCAAAGAGAAGTTAGATCTCTGCAGAGATATATTTTGCAAGGATTAACACAGGCCACAAAAGCTTTCCATCCTTATCATCTGAATCTGAATCTCGTTTCATTTTTAACAGGAATGGAAAAGAAGCATCCTTTCTCCGATCTTCAAGGGTGGGGATAGGCAAAATCCCACCAGTTATAGACCAGTAGCTCTACTCCCAGTGGTATCGAAAGTACTGGAAAGTATTATTGATGATCACATCAGGGAATATCTGGATAGGTCTAAAATACTCCATGAAGCCCAACACGGTTTCAGGAAAGGAAGATCCTGCGTCACTAACTTATTATCAGCTTGGGACGATTGGACATCATGCTGGGATATGAATGTTCCTGTCCATGTGATCTTTCTAGACTTTGAGAAGGCATTTGACACTGTTCACCATGACCTTCTCCTACACAAAATAAGCCAGGTAGGTCTAGGTAAACCACTTCTGTCATGGTTGAAGGACTACCTAACTGAAAGGCAATTTTGCACCAAGGTCAATCGAGTCCGATCATCTTGGCACAGCTCGTCATCAGGAGTGTCGCAGGGTTCTATCCTGGGACCACTGATGTTCTTGATTTTTATCAATGATTTACCATGCCGTCTAAACTGCCCGACTCTTCTATACGCTGATGACGTAAAGATATGGAGGGCGGTAAAGTGTCCGGAGGACTCAGATAGGCTGCAGGCAGATCTAAGGCTTCTGGAAGACTGGGCGGTAACCAGTGGAATGACTTTCAACCTGAAAAAGTGCACAGTAGTGAAGTTATGCACCTGTAGACTGCAGAATGCAAGTTACACCCTGTGCAATGAAAGCTTGTCCTGCTCAACGTCGGAACGTGACTTAGGTCTAGTTCTAACGGAGAAAATGGACACAAGCGTAAATTACACGGGGGATGTAGCGAGGGCATATGCGGTCATACACTTTACACATAGACAGTTAGGTGCACTCACTCCTGAGCTCTTTCTAAGGTTGTATAAAACATACGTCAGACCGCATCTTGAAGTGCATAATATCATTGCACCCCCACTGCTTAAAAGAGACGCCAACCTCTTGGAAAGAGCCCAACGACGGGCAACAAAAGGAGTGGTTGGTCTCCGAAATAAACCATATGACGAAAGGCTGAAGAAATTAGGCCTATTCACACTCAGTTACCGTCGCCTGAGGGGGGATTTAATTACTGCCTACAAAATAACAAATGATCAGAATCACCCGAACAAAGGTGTTCTGCCATTGAGTAGGTATAGGCTCCCTCGTGGAAATCCCAGAAGGATAGCTCATCAGAGGGCAAGGACCCGGGTGCGCTCCCACTTCTTTTCCCTGCGGGTTTGCCGTCCCTGGAATTCCTTACCGGCAGATGTAGCTATGGCACCATCTGTGGACGCCTTTAAGCGAAGGCTGGACAACCTTGCAGTGACACAAGGACTGTATCCAAATGGCCTATCCCCTTAAAATCGCATATACCATTCAAAGATAGACAATTAAACTGGTCGTTTTACTTCTTCACATTCCCTTCAGTCTTACTCTCCTGACAGCTTTAACTACACTTATTATTACTATTATTGTTATTATTATTATCATTATTACTGGTATATATTATATATATATATATATGTATACCGGTTGACTGACTGTTGTTACGTTTTCTTATTTTTTTCTCTGTCTGTTAGTCTGAATACCTTTACTAATTATATCTATTATTATTATTATATCTTTTCCATTGACGACGATACCGAAAGACTAACTGGTGAAAGGATCAACTCCATTCACAGTAGTAACAGTCTTAACACACTTCATACTACAGACGCCATATAATTAATCCCAGCACTACTCCTGTTGGAGTCAACCAAAGCTACGACAGTCGAGTGGCGGGACGAGCTACACAGACGTTTACCAAAGATCAGGAACCTCTACCTTACAATCAAGAGGCGAGCGCAAAGAAATCAAATTGGTTTATACTAGCTCGTAAAAAGATATTGGATATTGGATATTGGACGTGGTGATTTCAAATTATCAAGGTCACTAGCTGTTATTATGTTTGTCGGTAGGAGTTGTTGACGGCATTCTCATATGAATTATGAGAGGCATAGAAAACAAGCTTGCAGACGTTAAAAGTAGATTGCTGTCAACGAGCTCCAACATTGAAAAGGCTGCCGCATTTTGTTCGGAGAAATACTTGGTATAAGTTAAAATTTGTGAAAACTAAGTTAGGTGAATCCTGGGGTTAATACTCTTGATGAAAGCCTGGAACTAGCTACGCAGTCTGTGTGTGCAGTTGCTCATGAAGTCAATCGCTTCGCCAATCAGTTTCTTGAGGCACTTGATTTCCAGCTGTATCAGATTGGCGATGTTTCAGACAAAATTTCTAAATTAAAAATGGTTTGTTGGCCTGTTTTTCTAACCTACTCTAAAGGTGTGCAATATATATCAAGAGAAAGTTGCTCGAAAGGCCGTAGGGTCATGCACAGTTTCGAAGGTTCCTATTGTATATCAACATGAAACAGTTCTTCCTGAGCCTCCACAAAAGTACATCAGACAACCAATCAACTTCTCAATTTTGGATAATATTGGCCATGGTATACCTAATCAGGTGAGTAACAATCACTAGGCGTATTTCTTACGTCCATGCTTTGGTATTACTAATCAAATATTTAGGCTTACTTTTGGAGTTATTTAGCACATTTAATACTATTTATTTACTCAGATGCAGGCAGGAGCTATGATCTGCCCCTCCCAATCTTTTGGATTGTGTTAAGTGGTATTCCTCACTTCATGATTTATGATAAATGGTTGACTTCTCTATTTGTCTCAAATCGTTGAGCTGGCTCAGGAAACTGAGTCGCGTAATCTTAAACAACTAGTAAAATATCTACTGTACAGACGAATTAAGGCATTAGTGGGTAATATCTTTCATCGATTACATCTACTTGGGAAGAAGTAATCTTATTTCCTCGGAGGTGGTATGAGTTTACGAAACCTCATTGTGACATATAGCCATCTTTCATCGTCATTTGAGAATGGCTTGGATGAATCCAATCTGACTCAGTGGATGAAAGAAGCAGTACATAGGCAATAAATCGGTCTCAAAGTGAAATTATACATTTATTCCTATAGCTGCACAGAATTCGAGGTCACTGCAAAAATAAAGTCGATAGTTTTATGGTGTTTTCAGGATATCTGGACTACTGTCGCGTTTAACACATGATTTACTTTCAAAAGGTGTTATGTCATCCACCTAGTGTCATTAACGCATCGCTATTTTAGTTAATTGTTTTGAAACAATTTGGTTGATTGTCTTCTCGTATTGCTGTTCTCTATCTGATTTCATCTCTTCGTTGAGCAGATGATATCTTGGATGGTCATATATGATAAGGATGCTGTTGGTCAGCAGCCACATATATTCTTATGAACTTACCAATGGTTCATACCTGTGGTGTGAAAGATGATAGTGCCATATGACCACCTAAACTTTGGTAGGTAATGTATGGATCAAAGTGTGTAGTGTCTGATCCGACAAGATATTTAAAGCAGGAGCCTTCCAGCTTTTGTACTTCAATATCGAAAAAATTCCCATTTAGACAATCTTTCTGTTTTGTACTTCAGTGTGAAAGTTTTCGACAAAACTAAAGTTGAATTGTCATACAAAGATAAAAGGATATAAATCTTGTTCAAAGATCCAATTTAATCAGATTAAAAGGTTCTCATGAGCGGTGTGAAACTAGAGCTTGGAAAGCTGATTAAAAGATTATATATATATATAAGTTCGACAGGGTGCTTCAACTAAACTCTAATCCTAAACACCATAATTTTGAAAATACGTCTAATCATAAAATTCTAGATACTAACAGTTTGAACAGACATGAAGACGTGATGTTAGATGATATATAGCAAATCCTGATTAATAAATAAAAATGGATATGTATCACTAATTAATAATACTTGGTCAAAATTCGCGATTGTCTATATTTTCTTATGGTGACGTTGACAAATGTCTTACAACTATTTACTCCCCCCCCACACACAAACACACTGTTTAAAGTGTTTAAAAAGGTAGACCAATATTTGTAAGTCCGAGGCCAAATTTTGATCATAGCTCATACAATTTTGTTTATTTTACATGTTGATACCTGTTTCATGACTCATGATTGGACAAAGTTTTTAAAAACAAGAGATGTTACTTTTATATATTAACCTCTGTTATGGTAATTTCGATTAATTTCCCTGAATAAGTTTGGACCAGATTGCCGAACGAAACGTTGGAATTACTCATTTCAATCTCGCTGAGATTTTACAAATATAATTTTTTACAGATGTCTACTTCTCACTCGGCGCCTAAATATTTTTGACGACAGTTCATTTGAGCCATTTTAACTGTTTGCTGTTCGTTGGCTTCGGGAGTTTTCATGCTATCTTCATATATATTGAAAAACTTAGGGAACAGTTGGCAGTTATTATACTCATGCTAAGTTGCAAATTATCCTTATCGCCTAAGTTATTAGAACAATCAAGATATCTAGACAGCCACTGAATGCATTTGGTTAATCTTTTGCAGAGACAACTCGCAGTAATAGCACTGGTAGTAATAGCGAAACTGACTGCTTTGACTCAAAGGAGTAAATTTTTAGTGTCGGAGATCATTGGGCTTGTCGTATGAGCATGTAATGGCAATAAAACATATCTTTCAAGTGACGTACATACCGACTATGCTGCGTATTTCGTGGAAGAGGATTCAAGAAACGTCAAATTGAAACACTTCACATCTCCCCAATTGTGGAGTAAACTCTGGAAACCATGAGTTCAGTTAGCTTGTGCACTAATAATGCACCATCTCGTGTATAGCTTATTACTGTATTAATAAGACTGAGGAAGTAGGGTTTTGTGGTTGTGTTCATAACTTGCCTTACTTCTAGGAAGGGATTCATGATCCCAGAACCAAAGTAGTCTGATGACATCGGTTTTGACCGCTTGTTGTTCGATCAAAAACACATTTTCACTGTTATTACACCTAACATCCAATAGCATCAGTAGTACTGATTAGAGTAAATATGGTTACTGCTTGAGCCGAAAAGTCGTTTGTATTATCTCTTATGTATGTTGGAAAATTAGGGTTGCGATATATGAGTGTCATTAGTTAAAACTATGCATACTTTTGTGTGTGTATCGGAAACGGTTCGGTATAGTTAATACGGAGATATTTCAATGATACAAACTCATGCAGCTGTCATATTAATAGAGCTAAAGCGATATTTACCAGTAGTGTTTTTGAATTTTCTGATACCCGTAGTAATTATATTAACGTATTTTCTAACATACAGTAACTGTATTTTTTCATTGTTGTGTTATTTTTTGTTACATGCAGCCACTGCAGGAACGTAAAAAGAGGTTCTACTGCACCTTTTGAGGTACAAAAGTTACAGTTTTGCAACGTTTTAGCATAGATGTTTGGTTTGTTAAGTTTTGACACATTCTCCTCTGGTTTCATTTCCTGGTTTAAACTTGTATACGGACACATACCTTCTCTTATCGGAAGTCAAGATATCTAAACATTCACTTAGCGCGTCTAGTGTAGGATTAGATTTACTTACGTGTTAACTGTGGAATTAACAACTAAGAATTTATATTTTATACAGTCGTTTTAATTGTTACCATTGTTTTAATAATATATAATTCTGTCATCCTATGTATTTACCAATTTTTCGGTTATTAAGTCTAATTGCATTTTAGTCAGTATTTTTATTTACTTATGGGTATTCTTTAACACGCTTTCAAATAAGTCCATATCGTACAAGTGCTTCCCATTCATATGGTTCTTGTTATTGACTAGTTCGCAGCCTCTGTTAGGTAAGTCCTGTTTCACTGCCTCCACTCAGCGGGGTTGTTCATACAAAACTGAAAAGACTAACGCTTTCGCAATCCCAGCTACAGTTGAAGGACGGGTGTCCATATCCCAAGCAGGTAATTGTTAGATGCTGGGCAAATTGTGAGTGACTAAGTCATTTAAATTGCTCCTAAAAGTGTCCCCTTCAACGATTCAGTTCCCTATCACCAGAGGAAATAGTTTCATTTTTCATTGCTTTTTACAATGGTTTCCCAAATCATTTAAAATAAGTGTCTGGAGTTACCTACCGCGAATGCCATTTCTCATCCCTTTGGCTTCTGTCGCCCACCGTTGTTCACCGTCCTTGCGGTGACTTTTAGTCACTTTTGCATTCGAGCACCTTTCGCTCCATGTCATGTTCGAAGCCCTCCAGTGCCAGTCTTCGTGCGCTTATAAGTTCCGATGAAGCGGAAGAAATCCACTAGTCTTCACTAACCTTTAGTTTTCAGTTATTTACGACCTTTATCACTGTTTCTTTGGCTGACTGAGTATTATACCGTGCTTCTTCAAGATGAGTCTTGCTGTCAATCGCAGATATGCGTTCAGTTATTTCTCCCCTAAAATAGAGAATTTGTATTCTCATCAAGTTGGGGCGTATCGTTTTCATACCTAACTGTTTCCTGTGTCCGTTCAGTCACAGGCATGTGCATGCACGTACTAGATTGACTGAAGTTTACGCAGGTGTTCCAGCAGCAGTTTTCTACCACACCACCAATCAATAGCTTGTCGGTCTATGGTCTGTTTGAGTCCATCGTCGATTTGATGATGGACGTCACTAGGTTAGGCAATATCTTTATATATGAAGTTAGGGTTGACCAGAAACATATGAGTACCTGAACAGAAATATAGAAGATGATCACCATTGTTGATTCGTCGCCACTAGTATAATCCTTTAAATGGCACAGATTCCACTCTCGTATACTGAAGTCACCTACTAAAATGACTATTTCTGAGCGTCTTACTTTTAGAAGCTGACTAGACAGGTTTTGTTAGGATTCATCCAAACTGCAGGTGGTTGGGGTGTAGGCGAAGATCATGAGAAGACATCGACGAGTATCACAGTCCTCCCTTCTTCTAACAGATCCGTTCAGTCTGACAACAAACATACAACTCTAGACTGTGCTATTGAGGTAGATAGTTATACTACAGTAATAAATAACTGGCCATAAAATGGTCTTTTCGTATCTGTCTACACATTAACGCTTTGCAGCTGGGATGCAATTAATAATATGTTCCGCCACCAGCTGATGGAACTCAAGCACGTGTATCATACACATACCATCGGTTGTGTCTGCCACTACTGCTAAAGATGAAAGCGAGCCAGTCTCGAGGCTAGTTGCCGGCAAAATTAAAGTTTTACTGATATTAATTAGAAAAGTCAGAAATTTTACCGCTACTTATTTTATTTTTATTGGAAATGTTAGGATCCCATTATTAATCATTACGGACAACCTTACATGCAAACTGCTACTTTAACCAGACGCAGTAGTGCTTCAGTTAGTGGTCAGCTCCCTGGTCGGCAACACAGTACAATTTCTTGTCGTATAGCCAATCCCAAACCCTGTATCGAGTATGCAGCACCTGCAGGTACTATGAGGTCACAAGGTACGTGTTGGCCGCTTACTAAACTTGTTTTCTAGTTGTTTACTATAATATATATTCCTGTAAACATTTCCTTAATTTTATTATTTGTTTGCTCTTGGGTAATATTAGTACTTGCTTCAAAGCACAGAAATGAACCAGCAAAAGACATATGTCATTTTATTTGCACCAGCATTCGTGTGTTAGTGATTATTAAAACCGCCTCTCTAATTCAAGAGGTATGGCTTACTTTAATAGTCGTTTTACTTAGCGATAATGTCTTGAATTTTTGACTCTATTTAGCGTCGGTGTCAAGAAGCGCTACACATAAGACTATAAGATCATCATGCAAAGAATAAATGAACGATAGGCAAATTGTTGAAAAGGATATATTCATAGATTTTTCACTAGTCTTGTGTAGTTTTTCAGTGATAAGCACTAATTGTCACTCATAGTCATACCTAATATTGTTTTAGCCACTGGGTTATATGAAGGAAGTTACAGTAAACCGCCAGGTAATCATCTGACACAGCTTCACTTCATCAGTCACGCTTCTGCTACAATACAAAAAGTACACTAAATTGATGAAAAATTTGACCACTTCAATTCTTTCAGCGCAAATGTCTTTTTAACCCGTAAAAGCATATTAAATTTCATAGTACGAAGCACAGAGCACATCAACTGCTGACTGACTAGTCATGACTCGTACTGTAGTTAAACGTTACATATTGCTGCTTTAATTTTCAAGGTTAAAAAGTCTTTCTTCAAGTAGCAGCACTATGCCAATAAAAATTCACTGCTCTCAGCGATGTCCGATGAATTTTTCAAGAAAACTCTGCTTGACTTCATGGCTAATTTAGCATACTGTAGAAAATTGATTGTATGTCCTCATGCTACCTGAGGCACTTTTGTATACGGCCTTAAGTGATACTAGAGAGCCCTGACTAAAACGTATCCATTGAAAACAACTTCAGAGACTTATTATGTTTGAAAAAAATAAAATAACCAACATATTCAGTAAAGCAACACTTGTTAGTTTACAATCTATGGTTGTTCAAACATTCGGTTAAGCACATGCTCCCTGCATTCACAGTTTAAACGGAACCCAACACTCTAGCAATCATTTTCACATGCTTTTAAATCTTCGAAGTGTTATGTTATGCATATCGCAACAGCTTAGTACTTTGCTAATTACCACATATATTACATGTCATTTTTGAAGTTCACCGGTAACACTGGCTTATTCTACTGTACCTGAAACCTCAGTCAGTCTGCCACCCTAAACTCTGGTACAACCCCACTGATAGCTGCTACCTTGAGGTGGTGGTCAGGCTTGCATATCGCAATGACCCAACAAGCTACACCGGCTGGAACTATTGTTCCTCCAGGTCCTACCATGCCAGGAAGGTTGTTAGGATAGCGATTAGACTAAAAGCAGTTGCCGGCATAGTGCAAGAATTTTTTTACACTATGCTGGGGGTTTGTGGGCGAAGTCGTGCTGCTGTGGGGAACAGGGATGTAACAGCAGTGAGGTGTTTCCCTCTGATAACTAGCATGCCAGCTTTGCTGTCTCTCCACTCTGGAGAGAAGTGATTAGGAAAGGTCGACCCCAACAATTGTACATCCCGACTTAACCTACGGTGATCCGTAACCGGCGGTAAGTTTACTAATACGGAACCAAACCAAAAAACCAGTTCATATAGGCCGTATGTGATCGGCCTCAAGCAGTTGTTCCCTGGGCTCTGTGGTCACGCAGCACTAACCCTCTTTCTGTTTCAGGTACCCGAAGAATCAACCAACATCCACGGTGTGGGTAACCGGGAAGTAACAACTGCCCACACACTTCCAAGAGCACACGAAGCCTTACTGAGCACCATTCTCCTTTACTCACATCACCATAATCTTACTTCCTTGCTACAGTTCGTACTATTCTTCAGGCTAGTGAGTCATCTTCACTTCACTCTGCTGTCAGTTAGACCTGGCCATTGGAATTGGAAGACATGAAAAGGCCGGCTAACTGTCTTTGATCATAGGTACTTGCGTTCTATCTCCCGTGTGAAGTGGTATAATGGGATGAGCAATACTGGGATTAGACGTCGAGTTTTTGGTAAGGAGGGAAAGTCAGTCGACAAGGCTGTGAAGCTACATCGACTGAGATGTTTAGGACATGTGTTACGTATTCCTGGCCATCGCCTTCATCGACGGGCAATGTTAGCTGACATAGGGTCAGGTGGGAAAGGGCTAGTGGTGGTCAAAGGAAAACATGGCTTCATTGGTCAATGGAATTCACAAGTTATTTTAAGCCACATCGGGAGGTATAAACTACCTGACTGATAGGGGTCCTGGAGATGGTAAAAACCAATGACAGCTGTAGACAACTGGTGATATGACTCAATATCGCTCTCAATGATGCAGATGCATTCACTCTTTGTAATTTATCATATGTAATAAAAGGTTATTGTTTTTCCATATTACTACTTTTTTCCCTTTTCCACTTCTGTTTATTATCTTTCTTTTTCACCTTCATTTACTATCTTCTCTTGTTTTTTGTGCGACATGGGGTGTGGCAACTCAATCTGCTGCACATCTGTGCGAATTTCTATGTTGAAACCAGTCAGTCATAAACTGGAGTCACTTCAGAGAATGTCGTGAATTAAAAGTTATTTCTAAGAGTTTATTTACTTTAGTATGCTAATATTTCGACATCTTCCTTATATCTTTTTAAAGCTGGAACAGTTGGACGAGCCCCAGTAATTTGTCGTGGTGGCGTGATGCCACCACAACAATTTTTAAATGCCAATATGGTGATGCAGCATATGGGAGGTGTAACTAATAGTTCTGTTGGCAGTATGTCATCTCCAAACTATGCTACAGGAGTAGGTCCTAATGTGAACAATCGTGGTGCCAACCTTGATCCCATGTGTAACACCGCAGGTAATGTTCGGTCACGCAAATCCAGTGGATCATCTGGTGCAGGTTCTAATGTTATACAATATCATCATGGCCAGTATGCTTCAAGTCAGCCTCTTATTCAGTCATCTAACTCTGAACAGTTAATGCATGGTTCTCAAGTCGCATATAATAAAGTAAGCAGTGTTTTGCTTCTCGTTCATATTTGATTAACACTATGTTTAGTGTTGACGGAACACTACTGCATATACTCCAATGGTCTGAGAATGCAGCCTGTTGCGTTATTCTCTACAATAAGGAGCTGCTATACAATGTAGCTTGTGAACTGCAGCAATGGAAAACCTTAAAGGAATCTACATAGTCATCGAATACGAAGATGACCCTTTGAATGACTGTTTTGGAACTTTCACAGTACACTGGCAAATACCAGATAGGTACAAATATTGCGGAACATATGCTACCGTAATTTAGACTGACAGTTCTGTACACTTAACCAGTCTCTACGGAACTCTTGATTTTAAAACTCAAATTTTCTAGGTCCTTAGAATGCGCAGAAATGAAGCTAATAGATCTGAACTTACTCATTAACCTTCACTAGAGTTTATGGAGCTTTTATGCTAGAAAATGTAAAAGATACCAACATAAAATAAACTTAGTAAAGCATTTAGAAAAGACTATTCGTTTAGGGGATTACTCAGATCAAATATGTCGATAATCGTTTAACTATTGCATTTTATTTGTTGTTTTTTGTGTAGCAGTATTTCCGCAACCGTTGTGACATAAGAATTCTTTACACAATGACTTGTTTTTCATAAACTAGTATTGTAAAGGCTAGCACTGACGTGTTATGTTTACTTTTGATCACCTTCCTCGATGAGTAATGTTAGTTGACATGGAATTAATTGGAGGATAATTAGGAGTGGTCAGACAAAATCAATCCATTAAGTGTTTGACCATTGTTTTGAGTCACGTAGGGAGGTCTAAACTGTCTGGCTGGAGTCCTTGAGATACTAAGAATCAGTGGTCTGGTGGCATGAGTCAAGCCGTTTTGAACAGCAGAGATGTATTCACTCCTTGTGATATTCCGGTCCGATTAAATTCTCATTATTAATTTAGTTATCCAATACATTCCTTTTCCCTACCTTTCTTGTGTGCTGTTATAAAATGTGACAACTTCAACTGCTACACTTTAGTGCAGTCCTACATTTACAATTCAGCATACTGTTGTCGGAACTATGAGCATCACAAATTTTCATTAAATTGTTCACTTGCACAAATTTTGTCCACTGCATTAGCACTACACTTATGCCGTCTCGTGGTGTAGAAGCTTCCACTGACGTATATCTGCACAAAGTTTTATAAATTTTACATTAACTCCTTGGTCAGTCGGGTGCGGTTAGTCCAGTTGTAGCATACGGCTGACGGTTTTCTTAATATTAGTTTGCACATTTTCTCAGATTTTTAGTTTGTGATTACTCTCAAGTCTGAGTTTATTGTATGTCTTGATTATGCACCAGTGCATATAAACAATTAATAGGAAAGATAAGGTAACAAAAACCACTCACTTTGTATATTCTCATTACACGGCATAAATGCTTGTTAGTATACAAGTTGTGTATGTGTTTAACGACAGCCTAATATGCAATCCCAGTATATGGCTTCGCAAATTGGTCATCCCATTAGCGGAACTGCATCTCAGCCTACACATGTTCATGATCAACAAAATTCACTTTCTGGCAGAAACGAATTAAGTGGCCAACTACACATGCGACAAAACCAGCAACACAAGTGGGCTAATGTGTCGCAAATGGGGGATTCTTCAGAAATTCCTCAATCACAACAATTACAGATGCAACAACAGGCTCAACAACAAATCCAACTGCAGCAGTATCAACAACAAAATATTCGAGATTCAGTTATTTATCAAAAACAGTCAAGTGCTGAGATGAACAAAAATACTGATAAGGTAAATTTCGTCACGTTTTCATTAGAACTATTATTTTCACCATTACTATTATTGTAATAAAAATGCTGGAACAGCTGACAGTTGGCAAGTAGACATAGTTCTCGCTCTTGAATATTGCAACGCCCATTTCAGCGATACCTTCTGGTCCTATTGGTCCTGAGCGTCTAACCATGTTTTAAAGTAGTTATTGTTACGGTATGAGGCTGAGGACTATGTTCCCCTTCCAGCAGATGAACCTGTAACGGCTGTAAGGTATTTCTTTCGAGCAACGTTCAAGCCAAATACGCTGCTTAATAGGTTGTTAGAACTAATGATATACCATGATGCACAGTGCAAGTCCTAGTGAAAGCTGCCTGCTACAAAAAACTGAATATTCCAACGTGTTTGTAGTAGGTGGACGCCTTAGTATACAAGTTGAGAAGTTGCGTGATACTTTCGCAGAGCAAGCACGGCAAACCGATGATGAAAATCACTTGTTAAAACTGTTACCAGCTGGTAATAATTTCAGAGAGAGAGAGAGAGAGAGACAGGCACTTTGGTATCTCCAAGTTGGACTCAAGTGAAGCATGTTGCTATAAACTGCCGTTTCAAGAGTTCAGTAGAGGACTGTCATTCTGTTCGAAGTATGTACTGAGCATAATGGCAGCGGACTGCTCTATGTACGCTTTTGTGTGCACCTTAATTGGTACTGCTGCTGCTGCTGCTGGGTTCAACATAGAACCCAGCATAGAACCTTAATTGGTACAATATTTGCTGAACCTCTCAGAGTTAATTTTGATCATGCATATATTACAGCTACATTTATAAAGGAAGCGGTCAGACTGCTGGGTGTTACCCTTTATAAAGGAGCTTGATATTAGATGGTTGGAGGCGATCGGCAGGAAGCCTTGGACCTAGGTTTCGTTCTAGTCGGCACTCGTCAGTAAGGCGCATCTGCAACCGTGAAGGAACTCATGTCCCTTCTGAGATTCAAACCCGCGTCACCCAGTACTGCAGTCAGAGACGTTACCACTGAGCTATTCGGACTCGCGATTGACCTGTAGGACTGTATTGGATACTTTCGATTGGACACTAGAGAGGATTAGACACATGACACTAGTTACTAACTAGTGTCCAATCAAAGGAGCTTAATGCATAATGCTTCTGATCTTTAAGAAACTGTCAAAAAGAACCAGTGGTGGTTGATGAACAACATACCCAAGAATCATGTATGCTTATCGTAACCTCTAAATGCCACCACATAACCTAGGCAAAATATCCGGTAGTTTATTAAGGGTTTATGTGGCGATAAAACACCTGCAGTGTATGTTACTCATCACAAGCTGAAAAGTGAATATATTGAAAAAAGTGGGGAGTATTTACAACGAAGCTCACAACTTATTCATCAAATGGCGTAGGCTCCCTGGCTATGGTTATACATGACCTATGGTTAGAGACTGGAGGATATGGCCAAAAACTGACACATGCTTTGTCTTTCTTTTGATTATAATATACTGCTGCGCTAGGATCCTTATATTTTCTCCTGTTGTCTAACAGCACATATTATCCATATTACTTCCTTTTCATCCTCCACTTAATATACAAAAGTAAGGAAGGTTTAGCAACTGTGACTACCGTTTAGTGGTGTCAAGTCCTTTGTTGAATTTGGCTGTCTTTCCGCACATTTCATCGATAGCCGACAATTAAGACTACTGAAGTTTAAATGAGAGCATCAAACAAACATGGAATTTTGCAGCTGTTACGAAACAAATTTGGTAGCGCTAATCGCTATCATGTCAAACTTAATCTCTCAGTTAAAAGTTCAACTGCTCTATATTTCGTCATCTTACAGAAAATTTAGAGTATTCCTCAGGATCAAGAATTGGCTACATTCTTTTACATGTACATAGTTTGGAGTTACTTCGTCGACTTAGCTTAAAAGTTATGCGAGTAACCTATCCGGTTTCATAAAATATATAATGATATCAATGTAATTCTGTTATTTCTTATTTAGATGAACAAACTGAATATTTCTGGTCCCTCAGTACCTAATCAGCAGCCACAGCAGCAAAATTTTAATACTAAAACTATGGACGAACCATCCGATGAACATTTAACTATACCACCACCTGGAGCATTCTGCTACGAAAATGAACAGGAATCACAGTTTGGAAAGCAGCAAGAAACAGATTTCACTGATTCACTTACCATTCAAAATAGTAAACTAATACAGAGAAAACCTACTGACCCAGCCTGGGCACCAGATTTCTATATTGAACAAGGTATGAGATGTTCAACTTTAAACATAACTTTCATTTTCTCTACTCGATACGTAGAGTGCGAATAGACGCTCGGAAATATTTCGCTTGTAAGTGATAATGAACTAGGCTTGTCGTTAAAATTATATTACCTGTTGCAGAAATCCTACCAACTTTCGTTGCATTATTATGTGTTATCCATACACCGAATGTCAAGAGTAAATCTTTTAACCAATATCACTGAAAAGTATGCACCTTGATAATCATTTTCGATGTATTGACTGATACCACGAGTGATTTGACATGTTAGCTAACTTCCAATCAATCATATTTCATGTCTAATTTGTAGTTAGCATTTCGGCTATAATCAAATCTAGTCAAACCTACTCTAATATTTTTATCACCAATTTCATAACCTAGGCTGAACTGTGTAATTCGGCTTTTTTATATAGTGACTGTTAATTTTTAATCAACAATCTGTCATTTTATATTTAGACATAATATTCACATTTTTGGGTGAAAAGGTGTGTCTAACTGTCTTGTTATTTTTTCCTGTTTATACAGTAATCACAATGTATGAATATGTACGTGATAAAGACGACGAACTGACATTTACAGAGAATCAAATAATATACGTAATTAAAAAGAATGATGACGGTTGGTGGGAAGGGGTTATGAATGGTATAACTGGACTATTTCCAGGAAATTATGTGGAACCTTTTGAAACAGAATGATTTTAAAAAAATTCTTCTAGGCAATAATCATTGCACTATTTTATTGGACTTAATTTCTTGGCTATGGTAATTTCACTTTTAACTCAAATAATAATAATAATAAGACTTTAATTACTGATTGTACTTATTAATTTTTAATAATTAATTTTTCTGACAAATTATAATCATTATCATCATCAGCGACATGTTCGTTGTCTTCTGAATTTTCAGAGTACTGTTCTTCATCAACTTCACTAGTTGTATCTTCGTCTGAATAGTTATCTGTATACGCTTGACGACCGTATTCGTAAGTACGAACTAAAAGAAAAGTCAGTGGTAACGAAAATAAGTAATTAGTTAGGAGTTAAGACTGTCCGGTTTGGTAGCTTAGTCATTTTCGTCAAAACAACATCAAGTATGCATATTAATTGAGACAAAAATAATAATTAAAATAACACTGAAAAAATCAAAGAATCCCGAGGAGTTGCACAGAACAGACAGGTAGATATATTTGCACACTGAGCTACACTCGTAGATGATATTGATTACACTAGTACTCACCTGACATGCTTAAGTTGTAACTGGCTGTTAGATCATGGCTGCATTTCGGACAGGGAATAGGTTTCCCACGCTCGTATTTAACGCCCTTCCTTTTACAGTGATCATCACAAAAGGACACTTTACAGCGAAGACACGTTTGTGTTCCCATTTTATTGCATGAGGGACATTTGAAGTTTTCTCCTTCCAAACATTGACAGCTTGCCTGTTGAGTTTTAAAAAAATATAGAAAACAGCTTATTAGCCACTGAAGAACTTTCTGTACTCATTAGGTCAGTGTATGATACCCAGTCGTTTTTTCGGAAAAGTAGCGACGCTGTGCAATAATCTACGTTAAAAGTAGTTTGAAATAATTATAGAGTTAATGCACTCTATTCCTAAATGAAACAGCTTTATGATTATAAAAAGCACAATAAAGGGTTGCTAGAATGGTTAAGTGAAACTGTAATCATCCCCGAAAGGCAATGAAAACTAACTCATCGCTTTAGTATATCAGTATAATTGACCTTTGTTTTCAAAAATGTAAACTAAAATGATGAAATTACAATAAAGGTTGCATCTGCTATAGCAGTGTACCCTTATGCACATGTCTAGACGTATTGCGACACTAAGCCATTAAATAGAAATGAAGGCATAATTTATACATGGTAAAAACGGTTTGAGGAAGACAAGAAATAGTGGTAATTGGAGACCACAAGCCGAACCAGAATCTTTTTATGCTGAAGAGTACAAGACGTTTTCAATATACTTGTAAAACACTTCCTATAAGTCCCTATGTTTATATCAATGGAACTTCAATTTTCTTTGTTTCCGAGCTAAAATGTCAATCTTATTCGACAGAATTAATTGTTTTTTAATTTAATGGTAGATATAAAAAGTGAAATTATGAGTCACATATGGAATTTTATTGCGACTACAGTGCTCAAGACGTAATTATTGTTAAATACAAGAATATTCCCATTCACTGTGCGTCGGTGGCACAGTGGTTAGGACGCTCGTCGACCATGCACATGGTGTAAGGTTCGATCCCCTGCCGATGCACGCCTGATATCAGTGGTTGGCCTGCAAAATTTGGGCTACCGATATCACATGATGAAAATTCCATACTTGTACCAAAAATACGGTGTGAAATCAAGCTATAATCGAAATTAACAAGTACACAAAACTTTACATAAAAAGTGCAATAGTGGAATACGTGACCGTTTTAATTTATCTAATGGACAACACTAAGGCTATGATACTGCTGATCCATGCAGATACATAACTTAAACCTACCTGATGCTCAAATTGATCATCTTCACAAAGTTTATGATTACAATAAGCACAAGAAAAGACTCGACCGCCATGACTGTCTAATCCACGTTGACATTCAATACAGGTAGAATCTTTCAAAGGACATTCGCAAGAATGTACTGATAAACACTTTTCCCCATGACAAATCCATGCATCACAGAAATCGCAAATCGCTCCCTTTGAAATTTAATGAAAAAATGTTGACATATTAAATGTAATAATACGTATATATACATATCAAAATACCAACAATACTGAAGTTCGTTACCGACTTGGAACTACTGAAATACTTACTGTGCCTTATGTATACTGGAACTTTTTGAAAGTAGATTAGCATGTTAAACATAATAAGTTAGTGGATGAAATTACTAAGTTTTCCCAGTAATAGTGGTTTCAGTGGATGCATTCATCTTGCCGAAAGTAATGATTGCAGTGTAAACTGTCTTCATCACATTTTTATGTACTCATGTTATACTTTTGTTTATAGCTGCTGCTATTTCTCTTGTGAGTGCTTTGTTCTCTTACCTCTGAAACTATACCTCAGACAACACAGAGTAACTTCCACCAACCCCCTTGTTTTGCCTTTTTTCGTTGCGCTAATGTCTAGTTCTGTATCAACCTTATATTTTTTCTGCCTGCTTTGAAAATTAAACATACAACATAAATTACTATGTCAATATTTAGTAGCTGGCATTAAACATCATAGCATTTCCCGCAATTCTAAACAGAAAATGAGGAAGAACAACTTTGGGAACGTATGCATCACTACTTTTGTCACTCATTGACGGAGTAAAATGATAAGAATGATAATCTAGTATGATTAAACGTACCACCATACCAAGTCCAGTAACGTGGGTGGAACCATGTTTAACAAGACAATCTCCCGAACGAGCAGAACACTTTTGTTTACCACAATGACAGCACACTGGAAGTCTTTGCACAGCCTGGCAAAAGTAACAAAACGCTCTATTCTTTTGTTTCTTCCCACACTGACCGCACTCCTGTTTTCTGTTGGGTTAGACGAGTATACGTACGTACCATTATTATATTAGAAGGATGATTGATGAGATCAATTTCTAATCTTTGTTGTCGAAGTAATTTTTGTCTTACTTTGGCTTTTTCTGCCTTTTTCCTTTGTCCAGTCTTCTTTTTAGGCATTTCAGTCTGAGTTGGTTGTTTTACAACTGTTAAGAAATTCAGTCAGAGCAAAAAACTGAGTTAGCCCTCATGGTAAATAGCAGAATGACACCATTATTTTACAAAATATAGTTTTTCAAAAAAAGCAGAAAACATTCGAAACAAAAAGTAAAAACGAAATTATGTATCCTGAGCTCCCCTATTTACCGTGAAGGTATCATCACCGAGTTTTATCACAGCTTTACCGGAAAGCTTTTAATATTTTCCCTTGGGACAGGGAACTACGTTATTTCACAGCATTGCATGAGCTGCAGTAATTTCTAAACATATGCAGTATTTATGAGAAGTAACCGAAAGGGAACATTGACTGTACTTTAACCGTATGTAATTAAAGTACTCTTTTGGAATACCGGTTTGACATGAAAATCGGAGTAGTTTGACATAGTAGCCTAAACTCCAACAAACACAGTCAGTCGTATGTATATGGTAGTTAGATATTGTATCAAGTCCACCGATCACGTATTTTTAGTTTTCCAAACTAACGTCCATATTGCTAACAATGAGCCGCAGCATGCCAACGGCTCAACAAAGGCAGTAGTGGTCAAATGCTTACTTTTATACATTTTTTAAAAGAACCAAAGGTTACATCTTTCAGCTACATAGAAGAACTTTCAGCGCATTAAATGACTATACTGGATTGTCGATAAGAATTCAGACAACTAATCAGTACTTTAGGTGGCATTGTTGAGAAAGTATTCAATGTGGATTTCGTACTTTTACCAAGCTTCTTTTAATCATTAACCTTTTAAGATAACTGTGGATTCGCAGACGAATGCAGCTACTTAAAAACACCGCTAGAAACTGCATATCCCACTGGATATGTGAACTATGCTTCAGTAAGTAGTCTTCCAGACTACTACTAACAAATTGTTGAATCAGCAGTGATAAAACAACCGACAATTATGAAAGTGTAAACAATTCTACCAATGGTGAGAGAGGTTGTTACATGAATGTAATGAAATTCTCGCTCCAGGGAACTAGAACTTCAGATGTGTTTTTTTCAATAATTCGAAATAATCAATCGCAAAAGCTGTGTGCTTCTTCTTCTAAACACTTCTAAATGCTACACTTAACTGGTTCTGACACAGTTCTCTCTTGACTATGTGACGAAACAGAACAACTGTTTTGTATTTCAAGTTACAGAGACACCACCAACCAGACGCTGTCTCTTCACATATCACAACACTTGGATAAATGTTGTAATGGGCATCAAAACTAACATTTTATGTGGCTACTTAACTAACTGGAAAATGTCATCTTACGGGTGCTGAGATGCGTTGTTTCATCCAGAATAACACCGAATACAACACCTGATTTCCCGCCAATTAATATGATATCAGACTGACTGTGATACATACAAATGTCTGTAAGTTACCATTACTCACCTTAGTTCGGTTCACGTGAAAGACAAAATCTAGTGTTAGCTACAGGATTATCAATATACATATAAATATATATATATCAAAGACCAAAGAAGCCATATAAAAAATAGTTGCAATTTTGGGGCTCTTCGGGGCAAAATTTTTATTTGGGAACTGATGCAAATAACAAAGTCAACAAGCCTAAGGAAATAATAATAGAAAACGGAAGGCAAACTAGTTGGAATCGGATTGATAGCAACCTAAAAATTTTAGTCTCTCTTCGCCACCGAAATATATCACCTAGTCTTCAGTTTTGACTGTGTTAAGCAGCTAAGCTTTGGAAAGTAATGTGTCTCTATGCGACGGTTCATACAAATCTAAGCTTTACCAGTGTCCGACTGCCTGTCCTGTCAGACTGTGTACGCCTACCTCACGCAGATTCACTCAACATAAATAGCAAACGAGATTATGTGAATTAAGCAACCGACTCCAAAGACATCTCAAGAGTTTAGGATTTCCGTGGACTACGGATAGAACAATGTTAAATGGAATTTTGTTGCAGTTATAGATGGATTAACCTCAGAAGGTCTATTTTATAAGACATAAGATGACAAAAAGCTTATTTTACCATGTTATAAAGCATGTACATAGAAAGAAGAGCAACGAGAATGCACTGCAGTGCACGAGCTCCTGCCGCGATGTTTTTTCGTAGTGAGATCGATACCAAAAAGCCTCTATATCTCTTCTAATTTCGGATATATGAATTTTGTGGGGTATTAAAATTACATAAGGAAACATGCGGTGATTCTAAAGTATAGCAGACGAAATAAAAACTACCTAATGTATGCTGACACGCAACAACCGGCAAGGTTAACCTTGAGGCACCAGCATGTATCAACGAACAAATGACCTTGAACGCACCATCGACATGATAACGGCGACTTCTGCGTGTTTAATATATATATTGTAGGAATTAGGAATTAAAAGGCATGAAACTGTTACACAGGACAACCTTCTCTGATGTGTGACGAAAATACCTTTTAGTTTTGGATTGGAGTATCGGCAGAGTAATTTGACTACATTCTATGCATGGAATGATATAGGTCTCCTAACGATAACCCTAATCTTTCCCTAACCTAGGCCTTACGTGAAAAATCCCTAATTTAACTCACAACTCTTACCTTGCCCCTATAAGGTCAACCTAACCCTAACATCCAGCCTAAACCTCAACTTCATCTATCTCGAACCAAAGCTGGAACACCTCAGATATCCCACTTAATAACAAAACACTTCACGAAGCATAATTTATTTGTGATTACAATATAATTTACCAGGTTTCACTGACTCTCACGCCGAACGTTTCAAGGTCATCAGTGCAGTCGCACTCCTCTGATACTTGCTGGTACCTAAAGTTTAATTTGTCCCAACAACTAAACTCCACTTTGTCTCAAAGCCCGCATGATTTTAAAGTTATGAGTTTGTGGGAATTTTCAAATCCCTCTTCTGGAGGTTTTACCTCTGTTCACATATCTTTAAATGGTGTACTAAAATGAATATCTGACAATAAGGAGTACTCTTTTAAATGTTTGATCGCATGTTTTATATTATTATGAAGGATTTTTCGAGTGGCGCATAATGTCCCGAATTGACCAGATGTTCTGTCGCTGAACTTTTCGTACGTTTTTATTCTCCTTTTAGTATCCAGGCTGGATAGTGTTCACGAGCGCGTTTTTCAAGTTAGCACATTGTACGGCCGATGTACTCAGCCTTGCACGAGCAAGTAAACTGACATATACAAGTTGAGGTGGCCCAATGCGACAGCTTGTCCTTGACGTTCTGGCTGAACAGTTTCTTGAAGGAAAACGTCAGTCGTGGGGTCGCGGCGAAGTATGTTTGCCTCAGAGATTTTCAGAGGCGTTTACGAATGATTTCTGCTTCAGTGTCACCTTTGAGTTCTAGATCAAGCAGAAGTATCTTTTTCGGGACGGATTGGACTTGTTTGGAAGTCTTCTTTCATTTGAGATTCTTGTCTATGAATCTGGGCAGAAAAGAGTTCTCCATCAGGGTTCCTCGGAGTTTACGCAGTTCTTCGTCAATCACTTCCTCGTTGCATATCTTTCGAATCTGCGAGGGAAGAACGTATATAAGTTTCCTCTTTCTGCTTAGGGGCCCGAAGATTTGAAGTTGATGGATTGTTCAATCCATGTAAGCTTTTCGTATGTGAACCTTTTCAGACGTTGGCGTTTCTTGTAAGATGGACGTCGAGGTAGTGAAACATTCCATCGGATTCAGGCTCAGAAGTAAAGTCGATGTTCTGGTGCGCATTGTTGAAGGTTTGAAGCAAGTTTTCGTAATCAATCTATACCTTGTAGAGATTAAGGTTGTCGATAGTTGATGGTAAGGGGTTGTTTTCTAGGCTAGCCATAAACCAGTCGGCCAGGAAGGGTCTTAGGGGCGAACCTATAGCTACTCCATCTACTTGCCTGTATATTTTCTTGTTGAAACTAAAGTATACGCTGAAGGTGCATCGTATTAACAGCGCTTTCAGGTAATGGATCTGTCAAAGTAGTTGAAGAATGAACGATCAATTTAACGGTTGTTTGCTCAAACCAAACTCAATATTTTGGCGGGAGTTATCGATACTGCAGTCATCGTTCTATCGTTCGCTGTTTGTTAGAAGACAGAGAAAAACTATCAGAAGTATTATTGTGATTAATTGTCATAACATGTATCCTCAGACTTTGTGTACAATAACCTTGTGGTTGGTTCTGTATTGGTGCAAGAATATAGGATTCTTGAATCACCAATTTGTGTTCTGGTTTTTCGCGTTGGTTATTGACAATAGTTTCTGAAAGTCTTCTAAGAACAGCGTTAAGTCCAGGGTAGTTAGACCTGGATATTGACAGGATCAGTATAGCGACACCGATGCTATTGGATTGAATGTAGTCACTAAGGAAACATACAGCTTCCGTCGTTAGAACGTCGGTGAAGAGAGAGAGGACATCCCGGGAGACCACGTTCTTTTCTGCCGTGTTAGCATTCCTAATTGAATCAACAAAGTCGAATATGTCACGAAGTTTTAGTCTTGACAGTTTCTCTTTCACTGGCCCGAGAATCTCCACCAGCCATTTTGCGATTGAGTGATATGTGGAATCTATCATATGTAGTATTGGGCGGAGTGGGACGTCTTGTTTGTGCACTTTAGGTAAGCTGTACATGCGCAGCGTTGTAGAACCAAACAGATGCATTTGTTCGTATACTTTTGAACTGATAATGGATTCGTCTTTCGTTTTCCTCACTAACTTTTTAGCTGAAGCTCCGTCTGTTCGATGGGATTATTTTGCAGTGTACACACCGGGTTGTCTCTCTGAGAAGCATCAATGGGACGCTTAGGGCAATGTTCGAGGTGCAACGTGGTCGCCTGTCAAAGGCCGAACGGAATCTTTCATCCATTCCCAAACCGATGAGATACTTATTATTTTGAACTCATGAGGCATGTGCCCCTTGGTTGAAAGGTAATTTCCCGACATGAACTGCTACAAGCTTTCGAGGTTTACCAGGAATTTCATATCAAGATTTGCCTGAAACGAACTCTTGTCACTCCAGGCCCTTGTGTTGCAATGGTTCCTGGTTTTTGGGTGTGCCTCGTGGCTAGTTGGACACTTGGAGTGTCACCATGCATATCACAGTCTTTGCTTCTCCTCCGTAATACACCATATTTGTCTGTCCAAACACGAGGATTGCTTCGCAGTTTGTAATAATAATAATGATTTACTTTATTCCAAAAACAGCACTTGTGATACAGAATGGAATTTTCAGCATTAATCACAATATTGTATCTAATTTCCTCAAATTATAAATAAAATTAACCACACAGAAAATTTTCCACATTTGCTATAGGGCTAATGTCAAAAACATGCAGCATATAAAATGGAAATAATAATAATGATAACAGCTAGGGTAATAATAATAATACAATTGAAATTGCCGCGGGCTTGTTTCACACAGTATTGTCAATGCGGCATAGAAATCCTAGCATGTTTAAAAATAGTGAATATAGTGTTCTCTTTACATGATATAGTGAAGAGAAAAAACAAAGATTACAGCAGTCATAGAGATAAGTTGGTGTTTGCAATTATGAAAGTAAAACAAAGAAGCAAGAGGACCATAAATATAATAGAAATAATAAGAGTTAAACTTGAAGGTATATAAGGATAGATGGAGAAAATTGTTTATTCACTACATGAAAAAAGGTTAGTTAATTCTTGCCTGACACTATTTCCACCACTTAAAATACGTGCCAAGTACGGTATCATAGAATTTGTATACTTAGACGTGCGAGCGTACAGTTTCCTGAAGTTACTTCTTGTTCTACCTGAGGAGATGCAAGGTGAAAGCTAAGGGTAAAGTGGATGCTCCAAGTCAGACAAAATACCTTTAGCAAATTTACTGCACGAAGTCAAGTGCCTATCGACAAAGAGGTTGACTATGTGGTCCACTGTGACACCACTTACCCTATGACAGTCGAGTTAGAGTGCGGTTGTCTGAGGTTGTTGTGTGAATGATCCCTCCCACCGTTTCTCGGTGTTCCTTCACTGATAATTCGGACCAGTCTGTTGCACGTCTAGCGTAAGGCGAAATCCTTCGCACTTTGATTTATTCGGCTATGCCATAGCACAGACACGATCGTGTAGTATCCCACTGTAAGCGCTGTCAAGGAACCAGATCAGAAATTATGACCGCATGGCCAGTGCTACCGATGTTCACTGGTAATCAGTTAAGGTATATTCTTGTTTTCATCAGTCCTCAATACGGTCCAATCAAAGGTCGTCTCCAACATTCTCAGCCAATCTGGCACCTTAACCGATGTGCGACAGATTTTCTATCAGTGCACTCCAACACTAGTTTGAGAGCTGAGGCACTAATGTCTCCCGCCGTAGCGAATTGGTTATAGTCCTCGTTCCATACATATTTGATAGCTCTCAGCAGTGGCCAATTGTCTTTTGCTCCGCAGAAGGATGGTCAATAGACGCCGCTCAACAAATTCCTGGTGTTGTCGACAGTGAAGTGGCACCATATCGGGTCTAAGAGTTCATCTAGTGTTAAGTTCACTGTTCGTACGCATCCAGGATGCTTGTCGAAGAGTGACAACTCCCCCACACTGTGATTCCCATCGCTCCCGTCCTGAACCATATCTCAGTCTTACCTTCTTGTCAACAGTGGTCATTGTTATCTTCAGGTTCAGGTGGGACTAAGGGCTGCTGAACTCGGGTATTTTTCCTCAGCCCTCTCACGTTGCCATACAGGAAGCTTGTATTTGGCTTCACTCAGGTTTGTTGTGGAGTGAATGACGTGGAGTAGATTGTTGGCTGAGGAGTTGGTGCTCGAACTAACTGATAGACTCTTATGCAACCGGCCTGCTTATTGTTTTTTCCTCGTGATCATTTAAAAATTCGAGTCATGTCGGTTGACGTCCCTAGTGTTGCACCAGCGTATTTTAACTGAGGCATGAGGACAAACTATGCCCTCGATACCAATTCATTGTTTGACGCCTGCTTTTTTATCAACAAATGCGTTCACAAACCCTACCGTTGTCCTCTGCGGTTTCTGGGGCACCGTGGCTGATTGCTCCTGACAGCTGAATTTGAAGACTAGTAGCCGTAGTGAGCTGACAGATGTTGGGTGGGTGGGACGAAGTAGTCCGTAAATTGAGGTGGGCACAGATTAATGCAGTACCAAGGATCGTCGAGATGCCATTAATGTCGATTGCTGTATGCTTTGCATATGTTTCTTGAAAGCAGTGATTCCCCTCCTTCTAAACAAGTAAAAGCCTTGTTCTGAACAAATTTTTCACACATTGT